CTATGCCCTCTATATTCAATCTACAAAACATAGGGTTAAAGAAATTCCTTTAGAACCTTGGTCTAACACCATTTTTTTTATTTACTTAAATAGATGACACATAATGTATTTTCTGTCTCCTCAAAAACGAAACAATTTCTACAAGTTTTGTTCAACAATTTCTCCATTCTTGATGACTAAGAGGATGTCCGAAATGGAGGTGTAACAACCCCAAAACAGATGAAATAATCCCATCGCTTTTGGGCAGACCAAATGTTCTCCCAAAATAAAATTCATTAGATTCAAAATATAAAGTTGGGCGTGTGAGTTTATGTTTTATGTCTATATGTTTCCACAACAATATAAAATGGCACCCATGTTAGCACATTAAATTAGGAAAAGCGCTTATTTTGGTGAGTTGAGACAATTACGAGAGGGACCCTTTTTCTTTTTCCTTTTTTTGGGACAAATTGAGGGGGACCATTTTTCTCTATCCAGGTTAAAGAAAGTGTACCTTAATGGCTCTTTTTACCCCTGCCCTTGTCTGTCCAACTAAGAAAACTGGACCAAAGCAAAATTTACATACTGACTATCCTTTTCCTTTTATCAAGATATGGTGGGATCAGACCCTTGTTTCATTTAAACATGAACTGCATGTATACTACACTAGGGAGTAACTTATCTAAGCCAATGGGCTTATAAAGATAATATAATATATTTCATATTAAAAGTTGACCTCCTAAGTACATAAGAGTGTTTTTGGCTGAGTTTTTACCCATGTTTGATTTAAAAAAAATAATTAAAATAATAATAATTTTGAGTTCCCTAAAGTCTAGATCCTCAGTTCATCAAGGGGACATCATGCATCCACTGAAAATGCTGGATTCATTTCCTCAATTCTTTGTGTAAAACTGTAATTTTTTTTTTTTTTTTCACCTAGATGAGATCTATATGTATTCAATATTTGAGATCCAACAAACCCTACTCACAAGTTGTACAAGGGAAAAGTTTGTTTAATATTGCAACCTTTATTTGTAAAAGTAAGATTACTGTAATTTGTAACATCCAATTTCTATGCACAATGCAGATTTGATTCTATTTTGAGAACCGTGTCACTTTTTTATATTGTCTTGAAAGATATGTTAAATTTACATTATCTACCTAAAATAGAAATTGTACACTATCACAACTTTATTTTTACAAATAAGATTGTCACCTTACTGACCGTCTACGTTAATAAACTAAAGATATAGAACGTGTATAGAATAATCAAAGTGGAATCATACCTTTCATTAACTCTTCGAGTAAAAGAGATACTTTGGGGCTTTTTTCTATTTGAAGTTTTTGGATACAACTAAGACTGCTAGATGATTAATTTAAAAAAATAAATAAATGAGTTTTAAATTCTTCAATACTTACATCTTAGCCCCCAAAAATTAGACATTCCTTTTTCAATCTCGAGACGAAAAAAAGTTATTTTTCGAAGCATATAAAACATGCGATTTGATTATTATTATTTTTCCTTGTTGGGGTTAGGCACCACACTCAAGAGGTTGCATCCCCAAATTCCGAGTCCTAAAAATATTTTTAAATTGAGATTTATTGAAGAGATCACACTCAAGAGGTTGCATCCCCAAATTTCGAGTCCTAAAAATATTTCTAAAGAGATCGAATCCACAATAAGGTATCAATGGGTGATGCCAGCATGAATGAAAATAACAACATGGTGACTACGGTGTGGGGGTGCTACCACCACTGCCTATCGCCCTTTCCCAATCTTGGAAGTATGTTGAAAAGTCGGTTGTCTCCTTCCCCTCTAAGGGCGGATTGAGGCTTAAACCTCATTCAATTGCGCCTAAAGGACAAAATTTGTATATAAATTGAGGGAGTTGGTGTGGTCAGGAGATTTCAGGTCCTCTTGGAACAAATTGTACACATGGTCCTGCGATTAAAACGTGTCAAGGGAATTTGCTCTGAAATATCAACTTTCTTCTAGATGGCATTCGATTTGGAACTCGAGAAATGCTCGAAATCGACTTGCATTACAAGATAGACATCGGCCCGTCCATTCAGATGTAGGGCCTTGAAAGTTCAAATTTAATGGGGCACCGTTTATAAGATTCAAAGATGGCCGTCCATTCAGATGAAGGGTTTTGAAAGTTCAAAGTTAATTGACATTGCTCATAAGATTAATCAAAGATTATTTGAAACTTTTCCGGTGATAAAGGTCTCAAATAAATGCTTCTCCTGTGGATTCAAGCCTACAATATGGTACTTCGGGAACCACTACACCCCTGCTTCACTGTAAGCAAACCAAAGAGGAAATGATATATTGGGAAATGATATCTTAGAAGCAACAAGATTAGCTTCGCTTTGGGGCGATGACTTCTTTTTCATTAGAAAACGAAATCAAAAGCGAAAAGTATTAGGAAAACAATGCATAAAACATCATCCACTTTTAATATGGATACAAACGGTGGTCCCTCCAAAAAAACAAAAAGTTAGAACCAATTGTCAAAACCTTTTCTTCATAATTTCATTTTCAGTTTTCAAAACTTATTTTATACATATTTACGATCTTCATGTTAGAGATTATACATTTCTTAAAAATTAGATCCAAAATCTATCTCAAAAAAAATTTATTTTTAAGTGGGACTTATGAGTCCTAAGACTCCTACGAGCCGTGTCCAGAATATATATGTATGGTTAAGAAGGAAAGGAAATGCCTCGGATACCCCACCATTGTTTGTCTACATGGGAGAATATGCTTAAACAACCATGAAAAGAAGCCCATTTGTGCTTTTTTTCTTTATAATTTACTTTCATTGATGTGAAACTTTACTTTGATCGATGGGAAATCTTTGTATTGGGTCTACATGTTTGTAATTTACTTTTATTGGGCGGACACTATTTGTACTGTTAAACTATAATTAATCTATCATATTGTTATTGGGTCATTCACAGGTGTGATTTCTATAAGGTTGCAACCTTAAACAATTCAATTATGACGTGCTTCCAAATTTTACCACAACATGTAATTTTGGTGTAAAAAATTCTTAGGATTATCTCAAAATCTATTTTCATAGTTAGTTATAAATTTTGAACTCTAAACATAGTTAAAATCAAGTAGATCTATAAAAAATCTTGAAAATAGACAAACTAGATATTGTATTGCAAGATGCACTATTTTTGGTACTCAAAATCTTTTTTTTTTTTTTCCACATTCATTCATCTCGATGTTGAGGTGACCGATTGAGGGTTTTTCAACATTAAAACAACCTTTTTCTATGGATTTTTGAGGTACATTTTAAAGTTGCAACTTTATTTAAACTTTTCCCTTATTTATATGAGTTTGTAGATATTGGGTTTTGATTGGACAGTTTGAAACGAGTAGACAACAATATTGGATATTAATCATCAATATTACCCAAGCGTAATTATTCATTCTTCTTTATCAAGGATGATACCCTCCAATAAAATTAAAGGTCGCCATATTTTTTCTCAATGCTTCTATCCACGTCTTTTTGTAACCTTTCCCTTACCCCACTCGAACCAAATTGCACCTCCCAACCTGAATTGTATTAAGTATGATTTCGTTTATCCTATCATCTATTGAAGTTGGCCTTATATTATCTGTATGTATTCATTCTGAATCATATCAATTCTTGTCTTGCGTCTCATCTATCTCAACATTCTCTTCTCAGCTAAACTCATACTATATTTTAGCACATTAATTATAATCAAATAAATATAATTGGTATTAATATATGAGATTGTTATGTGTTGGTTTCCGGTCATCCAATCTTAATCAAATAATTATAGTTTTTAAAAATGGCACTTATAAATTGTATACTTGTAGATACGATAGAAAGAACAATGTAGTATATGGTATATGTTTAGAGAGAGAGAGAGAGAGAGAGAGGGGTAGGGCATGGGTGGGGTTATAAGCATGAGAGCGTGAAAGGGAGAGGGTAATTAGGTAGACAAGGGTGGGTGAGTTGAGTCAACATGAAGAGCCGTCCAAGAGAAGGGAGACTGAAACCCACGGTACACGTGTCAATAGCGACTGCTCTTTTTAAGTGACCCAGCTTTGAATTATGGCGTAAGTGACTTTGCTCTCCCTCTTTTACTAACCCCCACCTTGAATTATGGCGCAAGAGAGAGAGAGAGAGCTTCTCTCTCTGAAAACATAAAAGGAAGAGGAATCCAGCACAGCAGCGCTCCAAAACTTACTTGATAAGATCGTAGAGAAAGAAAAAGAGGAGGCGCATGAGCCCACCCACACCCGCTGCTGCACAGCAACTAAAATCCAAACCCCCCCATTTTCTCTCTTTCTCTCTCTCTCTCTCTCTCTCTCTCTGTGATTCTGCTCAGGCAACCACACAAATGCTGCTAAAAAACGTGATCCACAAAGCGAAGGAGCTATTAAGCCTCGACAACCTCAGGCATGTCTTCCTTGGAGGCTATCAAAGGCTCAGAGCCACAACCCCAAACCCCTCCTCTTTCTTTTCTTGTGCCTGCACCCGCTCAACTTCCTCCAAAATTCATCACAGTTTCAGAGAGACCACCATGCTCTGGGACCCCCAAACCCAACACCAACACCTACACCAACACCTCACCAAACCCACTGCTCCTGTCGTCGTCCTCTCCAGAGAAGACAGAAACAGGGTACCAGAGAGAAGGAGGGGTGAAGACAGAAACAGGGTACCAGAGAGAAGGTGGGGTGAAGACAGAAACATGGTAGTAGAGAGTAGGAGGGGTGAAGAGAGAGAAAGGAGTTGGGAGGAGAGGATGCAGACTCGTGAGAAGGTGGCGCAGAAGCTGAGGGAGCTCGAGATGTTGGAGCGTGGGAACGTGGAGCACGTGTTGGACATCGAGGAAACCCTGCATTACTACTCCCGCCTCACCTGCCCCTTCTACGTCGACATTTTCAACAAGTTCTTCTTGGACATGTACCCTGATTCCCTCATCTCTCATCAAAACGATCTCCCAATCCCACAAAACCAGAAGAAAACACTCTCCTCACACACTCTCAAACCTTCACCTTACTAGATTTCTTTCTCTCTCCTCCTCCTTTCTTTGTGTTTCCCTCCTCTTCCTTCTTCACAGTTTGTGTTTGTGTTTGAGAGAGACAGATTGTCCTTGTTCATTTTCTTGCTCTTGCATTTCTCGTGTAAGAATTGGAGAGAGAAAATGTGTCACTGTTCAGTTTGTTGATATGGGGGATTCACTTAGAGAGAGAAAGCCCTTGCTCACTTGTTAATGTCGGAGTTCACTTGTAGAGAGAGAGAGAGTCCTTGTTAATTTGCTAGAGTGAGAGTGAGTCCTTGTTAATGGATTAGAGAGAGTCAGAGAGTCCTTGTTCATTTGGTAGTGTTGGATTTCAGTTGCAGAGGGCTGGAGTCCATTAAGCAGGTATTGACTTTGTGGAAGCAAAAATTAAAGGGCGGGCAGGCGGGCGGGCAGGCGGGCGGGCCGGCGGGCGGGCGGGCAGGCGGGCGGGCGGGCAGGTTCGGGCGTTATAAGGTTGAATGGGGATGGTGGGAAATGGCGCCCGCTCTTATCTTCTTTTTTCTTTTTCAATTATTCGACATAAATGTAATAATAAAATATTATTCTCCACTACCCCTTTTTTAAACAGCTTTTATATTTGGTCCTCCAATGGCGGGTAAGTGTTCTTACGTGGCATTCCCATCTCTTTTGATGACACGTTCCCTTTGTTTGTGGTTACGGGCCTAAGCTTGGATTTTTCTTTTAAACATATACACGTTGGAAAATGATGTTTAGATAAAAAAAAAAACATTATCCAATCGAACGTCTCATCGGTCCGATTATCGATCGGTTCTTTGATCAGTAAATAAAAATTATATCCAGTTTTAAAGTAAAAATTAACGTATAGTTCGAAACCAATCAAAACTAGTGTTTGCTCAATATTGACCGGTTGAACCAATCAATGTTTAACCAACTAAACAAAGTTGGGAAACCATTTCAATATATTTAATCCTTTTAAATACGTTTATTATTAAACACGAGTTTTAACGCTAAAAGATCCTCTAATTGATAATCAAACCCTCGAGATTTATGGATATGAACAAGTACATCATTTAGGCACTTTATTTTCAAGATTTTCAAATGTTTATAGATTTGTCGTACTTGCTCTAAATTTTATTTTGAGATTGTATACGAATAGACCATTTACCTTTTATACAAAGTGGTTACAATTCCTTATTAATCATTTGTTGTGAAATTTTATAGTTTGGATATGTCACAAAGTTTGAGAAAATTTCTTTCGAAGTTTGAGTTGTGTCATTGGAATAATTGCAGCCATCCAACTTTTTCATTTGAAAAAATTTCGTAACTTTTTCATTTCAAAAAATTTCGTAAATATCCATTATATTTCTCATTATTATGAAAATACCTGAAACTTTTCATTACTACCAAGGTCCATTTTTCAACTTCGTAATACTTTTTTTTTAAAGATGAAATTACCTATTTTTCGATTTTTGAAAACCGAATTTATTTTAAATTCCCATTTTCGACTTTCGATTTTTGGAAACCGAATTTTTTATTTTTTTAATTTTCGATTTTTAAAAATCGAACTTTATTGCTTGTAACTCACACGTTAAAAGAAATAATAATACTAAAAATAAGGTATATATATAATACGATACCTACTTTTATCACTATTATTCAAATATTGGTAAAAGCATATGATTTTCTTAAAGAGGTTTTGGTGTTAAATCTTGCTCATTCCATGATGGTTTTTTTTTGTATTTTAATAAAATAAAAAATATTCATTTTTTATTGAAAATTTTTAAATTGCGTATGGACGGACTTGAACCCTTGATGTGGAAGTGTAGAAGTATGGATGATAACCGAAAAGCCACACCAATTCTATGACGGAGCTTCTTTTTTAGCTTTTTAATAAAATAAAAAACACATTTACTTTTTAATAACATAAAAAAACATCTATTTTTTATTGAAAAAAATAGATTGCGTACAGAGGGACTTGAACCCTTGATGTGAAAGTGCATAAGCATACATGATAACCAAAAAGCCATACCTATTCCATGATGGAGTTTCTTTTGGCTTTTTAATAAAATAAAAAACAGCTATTTTTTATTTTAAAAAATTAGATTGGGTATGGGGGAACTCGAACGCCAATTCAACCTCAAGGTTAAATACTTGAACATACATAATATTGATATTTAAAAATTTTGGTTTTTGAAATTCAGTTTTTCATGGACTGAAATTCAAAAAAAATTATTTTTTTGAAAAACTGAAAATTTAAAAAGTTCATTTTTTCAAAAGCCGAAAATGGATAGTTTCATCTTTTCAAAAAACTGTTATGAAGTTGAAAAAATAGATCTAATAGCGGAAAGTTTCGGTTATTTTCGTAATAATGAAAGTATAACATATATTTACGTAATTGTCCCTTCCCATTTTATAATTAAGGGTAATTATAGCAAATATAGTTTAATTTATGCTTAATTGGGAAAAAAATCTCAAACTTTCGTAAACCTCGTCTACACAATTCTTTTTTTTTTTTCTTTTTTTTTTTTTTGAATTTTTTTTGGATGAAATAATCTTCACGGTAGTTGTATTACTGTGAAGAACATTACAATATTTTAAATATCATAATATCTAGTGTATTTTATACAGTACTTTAAATACTGTAATACTTAGGCATTTTTATACAGTAGTTTAAAGAGCATAAGCTCTCCAAGCCACCATGAATCTCTTTTTCTCCAACCCTCAGCCCTTTTAGCAGTACCAAATTGAGTTTGGAGATGGGGAGGTTCAGAGGTACAGGGATGACGATTGTGATACCAAAGTGAGGTTTTTCAATCTCTAAGATCCATTGGCATCAAAAGAAGTTTGGGGCAAGGGAGCTTCCTACAAAGAGAGAGAATGGAGGCAATGGTTCTGATACCAAACCTTAGAGAGAAAGGGCGGTTAATAGGATGGCTGCTGAGGATTGTGATACCATAAAAGTGCTTACGAAATTACCGCGTTTAAACTACCGTATAAAAATGTTTATTATGGTAGTTTTTTACAGTAATATGGTTATCGTGAAGATTATTTTCGTTCAAAAATTTTCGAAAATGAGAAAAAATAAAATGTAGACGAAATTCACGAAAGTTTGAATTTTTTTTCAATTAAATTTAAATTAAGATATATTTAGGATATAAACGAAATTTTAAGTTAGGAAGTGCGCGTCATTTAACGCCAGAACCTTAAATTAATCACCTCTTCCATATAAATGTGTGTCTATGACTGTAAATAATTTCACAGCGCAATGTGGACGATGATTGGGTGGAATAAAGCACGAACATTTTTATCTTACTTTAATGCGTACATTATCATTTTGTCTTCAATGGCCAAGCTTTAATCATTCGAAAGTGCCCTCCTAAGCTGTTATCCATATATTTGAGCATGCATATTATTATATTTATCTCTCTAAAACTAAGGACTTCAAATTCCAGTCAAAATTTAAACATCTCCGTAGTCAAAAGTTATCTCCTGTATCCGCTTTACTGTCTAATAATAATTAGCTAACCCTACCATTCTCTTAGCCGTCTTATGTTAATAAAAGTTTAAATAAGGTTGCAACCTTAAAATGTAGAATTAAGGTGTGTCTCACACATTCATTAGAAAAGGTTTTTATTTTTGGAATCGAGATATATGAATATAAAATGATAAAAGATTTGGAGTCTAAACAATAGGTCATCTTACAACACATTATCTAGACGTCCGTTTTCAAGATTTTCATGTATTTGTAGATCTACTTGATTTGAATTATTTTTTGAATTTGAAATGTTATAGTTAGATATAAAAAAGGATTCTTAAGTGATCATTACACCAAAATTTCATGTTAGGGTAAAATTTGGAGGTGCGTCATAATTTGATTGTTTAGAGTTGCAACTTTATGCAAACCATGCGTAAACATAAAAGAAAAAGTTTATACAAGATTGCAACCTTAAAATGTAGAATTAAAGATGCACCTCAAAAATCCATCGGAAAATGTTCTTTTAATGTTGAAAAACCATCTAATTGATCATCTCGATATCGAGATGTATGAATATGAAAAAAAAAAGGTTTTGAGTGTTATAAATAATGCATCTTACAACACATTATTTAGACCGTCTATTTTCAAGATTTTCATATGTTTATAGATCTACTTGATTTTAACTATTTTTTTTAGTTTAAATTTTTATAATTAGAAGTAAAAATAAATTTTAAGGTAATCCAAATAATTTTTTACATCAAAATTACATGTTGTGATGAAATTTGGAGGTGCACCTTAATTGAAATGTTTAAGGTTGCAAGTTATAGAAACCACACCTGAACTTAAAAGCATGCAACTCAAGTTATTTCTTTGCCAAAATTCTTTTAATATTTTTAAGAAATAGCAAACAACATAATATTTTATATAATAAAACACCTTCGAACGATTATGTTCATTAGTGAAAAATTAGTATTACTTAACCAAAAAAAAATAGCTTTTATTCTTAGACTCGTCTTTCTTTCAAAAATTTGACGGGATATGTCCAGGCAGGATAACCACATAAAAGGATACTCTACAGTAACACGGCATTAAGCTGCCTTTTTTTAAAACTTAAAATTTATTAACTTTGGGCACACGCTTTCCTTTCTTTTCTCATCTTCTTCTTTATTTTATTTTATTTTATTTATTTATTTATTTATTTATTATGAACGCATATAACAAGCTGCCATGGGAGCAATATATACATCAACTCCCTTAAGCAAAAGAACAATTATTTATAAGAAAAAAAATTTGTAAGTTCTTCAACAATAGGATATTGCCCTCCATGGAGGCAAAAAATAGGACTGCTCCTATTCAATTTTGGGACAATATTTTTAAAAATACATAGAGTTGGCAATGTGATTTTCTTTTTCTTTCGTTTTTGCGAGATCGGTCGCTAGGTTTAAAAAGGTTAAATAACCAAAATTTGGGGTAATACGTATAGCTAGCTTTTACTCGATGAAGCAAATGGCCAGTATGATTTGTTTTTTTGTTTTTTTTTTTTTTTTTTACAAATAACCTTGTGCACACGTGTTTTAGTCAACTGTAAGGCTGGCAATGGACCGGGCCAAGCTCATAAA